CTACTTCTGACTGTCCGCGATCAGACTTCAAATGATGCTAAATAACTGCCACTCTTTGCCCATTTTTATCTTTAGTTTCTAATTTTATATTTCATTACATAAACACATCTGTGTATATGCCATCCAGAATATGCTATGGAAATAGCCAACGTATAGTCTATCTAATTTTTTCAGTGTCTCTTAAATAAAACCCCAGGGGGGAAAAAATACTCTTTGAGAATTAAATTCCAGAAAACATGTTTCCTTGAGGAACTCGCATATCATCTCACGAGCAATGAAACTCAAAAAGTAATTCCCAGAAAGCTTGCAATGGGGAAATTGATCATGTCGGCCCTTGTGGAGAGTACGGACTAGAAATAACCACAAAGGGAGAGCCTGGGGTGTGAATTATGTCCCGGTTCTTGCTCTGGGTGCTGGTGAAAGAGGATGTTCAGTGTAAAAGGTATGGATCCATGTAATCATGGTATGAAAAATTTCTGGATGGTTAAATTTTTAAAAGAATTTCCTTTTTCTGACCAGGAAGTTGGAATCAGATTGGTGGCTCAATTATATTCTTATACACCTGTTGACCTTTATTTGTGCATTTTATTTTTTCTGACCTTGCTCTTCTATTCTAAATTGTATTTTCTTTAGTACAGAATTTTTGGGCTTGCTTTACAATTATATATTTTATGCCCCGTTATACATCCAAAATGCTATCAAAAATGGTTTATGGAAGTAGAAATAAATAGATATTCTTTCAAGTAGATAAAGTCTATTTTTCGTGTCTACATCCTTCTTGCCTGCCATACAGTAGTTATTTAGTTAATATTGAAAGAAACATTTATCTACGGAGGAAAAGAGAAAAATAGGGTAAAAGCTAATGGAGCACTTAGGAGTCAAGGACAGGTTATTTTTAAGATGAGCGCCATCTGAGCAGGTTTCTGAGGAGGTGGGAAGAAACCAGGAGAAAGGGATTAAGTTTAAAATGGGGAGGGTGATCTATGAATCTTGCTCTCAGGAGAGGGGAGGAGATAGAGTACAGGAAGGGGGTAAGTTGTCTTAAACAGAAGAGACACTCTTCTTCGGTCTCCACAATTGGTTTCACCTCCTCTCTTTAACCTGTAAATAGTTGTAACGCCTTAAAGTCCAGTCCTTAGTCTTCTCCATCCATAACCCACCTCCTGATGACCTCATCTGAAACAGCTTTAAATACCGACTGTGCTCTGAGGGCTCCTAAGGCTCTGTATCCGGCCCAGATCTCTGCTATGAACTCAGGACTGCCTACTCAACATCTCTGCCGGGATGCTCAACCAGGCATCTTGAAGTTAACAGGAGAAACACTGAATTCCCGATCTTCTCCCAAACCTGCTCCACCCCCAGTCATCCCCGTTGGAGGCCAAAGAAGCTTGAGTCATCCTTGACTCATCTCTTTCTCTCACACAACTATCCAATCCATCATCAGGAAGGAAGGAAGGAAGGAAGGAAGGAAGGAAGGAAGGAAGGAAGGAAGGAAGGGAGGAAAGAAAGAAGGAAGGAAGGAAGAGAAAAAATTTTAAAAATCCAGATTCCTAGCACTTTTCACACCTCCACTGCTCCCCCTGGTCTAGCCATATCCCCTCGCAGTGGGATTTTTTATGTGCCTCCTAGCTGGCCTTCTTGCTTCTGCCATTGCCACCTACAGCCTTTTCTCAATGCAGTAGTTAGAAGAACCATTTTAAACGTCTCTCCTGTGTTCCCAAGTATTCTTGGCTCTGGCTTATCATAGCCTTTACCAGTCTTCCAGGGGCACCCTGTCTACTCCTGGTCCCCTGGTCCCGAACAGAGCTGTTGTCACTCTCAGGCCAGTACACCCAGCAGGGAGCCAGGGAGACCCTAGTGACTATTAGGTGGCAGTGGTGATGTTGGTTATTGTTATTATCATTATTTTGATATATATATGTATTAAATCAATGACTTTCCCCAATAATAGTGGCTACATACAGACAGACTTATTGATAAATTGAGATATTGATTGAGTTGTTCTACACAGCAGGGAGACAGGGAACGTGCCTCCTTCCAACTAGAGCTGTTTTCCCTCTTCAGAGCCTGAGGAAGAGAACGCAGCACATGAGCAGGGGAGGCAGTGGTCACCGGACTCTCCTCGGCAGCAGCCTGGCCCCAGGGACGCTCTAGGAACCCACAGGCACCTGGCGCAGGTCCTTGTGCAGAAGGTGTTTTTTATTACAGTTCTCAAAAGGACATATTTTAGTCCGAATGTATTACAGTCATGGGACTCTTTGATCTGTCTGGCTCAGTTGTATTTCTTAAGTGAATTGAGGGAGAAGTGGTTTCGCTTAGTCATTAAAAATCACCTATGTTGAAGGTTAAATGCCCACAGACCTTCGTGTATGAATGCGTTATGCAGTTTCAGCCCCACACTGGGTCCTATGCTGGCCATCGGAAGGGTGTGATGACACGGAAGAGGTTGCCCCTGCCCCAGAGAAGTCAGGGGCCAGGGTCAGGGAAGGAGCCATTGGACCTGTTTAAAAGGTTCCACCCTCCCCGTTAAGGTTTACTTAACACAGTGGTTCTCAACCTTGGCTGCACATTAGAATCACCTGGGAATCTTTTTAAAATCCTGATTTCCAGAGGAATGAGGCCCAGAAATCAGGTTTTTAAGAAGATTCCCAGGTGATTCTAATGTGCAGCCAAGGTTGAGAACCACTGACTTAACACAAGGCAGACGCTTGCAATTGGAAGGGAAAAACAATATTTTGTACCTTCTGTGTGCACAGACTTGAGCTAAATTATGCCATTTAATCCTGACAGCTTCACCATATTACAGATGAAGAAACTGAGGCTCCAGAGATGATTAGGTAACTGGCGTAGGCCACACACAAGTATGGGGAACTGAGATGCCAGTGAAGACCTGTCATCTCCCCAAGGCCGTGCCCTTTCCACTCCAACACCCTGGCGATGGGAGCACCGCCATGGCCGCGGAAAGAACACCCGAGGACCACAAAACCACCACGTCGCCAGGTCTAAGCAGGCTCCATTAGGATCTGTTTACAGCTCCTTGAAAGCCAGCAGCCATCCAGTAAATTAAAAACAAAACACATACATACATCATTAAGTTGCAAAGAAAAATGGACACAAAGGAACCGTCTACTCCTTTCCTCACTGTTCACAGATCCCACCAGTCCAAGGACATGATCACACAACAGTGCCCTCTACCCCTGGGAGGGACTTTGTGAAGCCCCGTTTCTCTGGGCGGAAGAAGGGTATGGACTCTTGAGCAATAGCACCTGGAGGGGCAGAGGGCCCAGGACGGTGGGTTCCCCAGAAGGTGGGGGACAAGAGCTATGAGAGGAGCTCCCGGGTTGGGCCCTCCATCTATGTCACAGATTCTATGAGCTCAGGTCACCCTGCGTCCAGGACCACAGTCCTACTCACATCCCCAGCCCCAGGCGTGAGCCCGACCCTCGCTGAGCCATTCACAGACCAGCTGGGAGGCAGAGCCCGGAGGGGCGCACCCAGCCCGGAATGCCGCCTCCCACAGGCCTCCGCTCCTCATTCCGCTCGGGCTTCCCTCATCCTACCTCCGCCGTGGCTTCTGTTTGCAGGAAACCTCTCTCTCCCTGGCCGCCTCCCTGGGAACCTATCAGGGAGCCCACCGATGGGCACGGTGATTAGGAATTCCATCAAGCTGCGACCAGTCTCCTAGCCGAAGCCACAGCTGAGAGTTCATTATTCTGAGGCTTGGAATCACATGGAACCCGTGGCATCTGGGAGGCAGACATGCTGGCTTCCGGGACAGTCATCGGAGAAAGTTCCCAGCCTTATGCTGGGGGATTGGAAAGGGTGTCGCTGCACACACCGGAACTGTTTGTGTAAACAGTTCAGGATCGGCTGGCAGTGACTTTGGGGGGAAATCCCCACTCCTGTGAGCCGTGGGTTGGCTCAGGTCCCTCTCAAAGCTCGAACAGCGATATTAATCGCCCACCGTGTTTTAAAGCCCCTGGGAAAGTCAGTCCAAGGGCTTTCCCTCCTAAGCTACTCTCCTGGGGGTCACGGGGGGCAGGGGGGCAATTTGGAAGCCTCCTCTCAAGGCACATGGCCCCTTGCTCCGGGCCCGCCGGCTGCTACTCGGGGGGTGAAAATGGCTCCCTCCCCCAGGGCCTGGCTTTCAGGGACGTCTGTGAAGTCGTGTCAAGCTGGCTGAGGGGAACCTTTCCTTCGGGTAAGACTCGAGAAGAGCATTTCCCAGGAGGAAGCCGTGGGGGCAAAAAGAAATCAAAGAAGGATTTGCAGATAGATGTTCTCTGGGCTTTAGTACAATTTGCAAAATGCAATGTAAAAAAAAAAAAGAAGATAAATCTCTCCTCTCTGCCAGGCTAGAGCAGATTCCTGAATAAAAACAACTCTTTGCAACAGAACCTTACACTCGTCTGGAACTGAGTTTCCTCAAAAGGCACAGGGAGAGGGGTATGGATTCCTGAAATCCTGCAGCAAGCATTTCATGAGCAGCATTCAGAGCACAGGGGAGGGGAGCCTGGGGGACAGGTGTTCCTGCCGGGACAAGGCACGGAGAGAAAGTTGTATGCAACGAGTTTCCCAATAATGGGCACAGCCATCTTCAGACTGACCCGGCAGCTCATTGATTTAAGGAGCCAGTCAAGTCAGGGTTATGCCCTTTTCATTCTAACCGGAGGGAAGGGACCCGGCCAGGAGGGGATGGGTTTGCATGATCCCGAGCTTGAAGAAACATCTTTCCTGGCTCCTTCCAGCCCCTGAGGCAGCCGGATGAAGCCAGGACCGAAGCGAACACATTGGGAGCTACCTCCAGACCCCCCGGCCCCTCCCCTTCCTCTGAAACCCATGAAAACTTGATTTGTCTCAACTAAACACAAGCTGGGAAATTGGAGAGGAGGCAGAGGGGAAGAGGGGAAGGAAGGGGGGCCAGGCAGCATCCATGCAGTCGGTTGTACTATTGATTTCGAGCCACATAAGCCCCCGAGTGCCATCGATAAGGATCATACCTCCTGCTGATCTCGGGGGAAATTCTCCAAGATCCATGGCTGGGAGTTAAGGAGAAGCTCTAAGGCATCAGGAAGGAGCAGAGCACTGCAGCTCCTCAGAATGATGGACCAGGGCGAGCTTTAATTAACAGGGTCTGGTGCCTCTTCTTTTTTGGTAACTGAGCAGATTTAAAGGGCTAGAGTCCCAATTTGGAGGGTGCCGGTGCTGCTCTGGCTGCTGCCGTGGCTGCTGCTGGAACAGCGTCCTGCAGACCTCACTTCAGCAGGGAGACGGAGCTGTGAAGGTGGAAAAGTGCAGGCAGGAAGGTCGTGGCTGCACGGTTTGCATCAGAACCACAGGGCATCAGTGGTCCACAGGCTGTCTCCCAGAGCAGCGAGAGAGGCGGCCTCCTTGGGTGCGATGGCTCCGGGGACACCCTCTCCAGACTTGGAACTGATGGACAGCGCCCCAGGACGGAGTGGTCTTTGCTGTGCTCCTCTCCTGGGAGCACTGCTGGGTGACAGCCACCACGTAAGCTGCATGCACACATGCCTACCCTTAAACACACACGCCTGCCCATGTACACATACATGCCTGTCCATGCACATGCCCACCTTCCAAACACCCAGATGCAAAGGCACGTGACCTGCAGCCAGCTAGATGACCACCACCCCTGCCCCTCACTGCCCAGGCACCTGTATTTTACAGGTAGGGCACCAGGAGAAATAGCTGTGACACAGAGCAAGGCGAGGAGGGAGCCCACATGTGTGACCCTTCCCCTCCTGAGCCTGGATGTTCTCACTTATAAAAGAGCAGCTTTAAGTAAACAGCGATGCTCTTAACAGAGAGAGGAAGCAAAAGTCAAAACACAGACCTTAGAAAGCTTGTTCTAAGCTTAACTGCAGAGGGCGTGCACTAAAAATTCTTGAGAAACACTATGTGAAGGGCCTCAGAGTGAACAAGGGATGGAGCCTCTGCTCTGGGAGACGGGGCTGCACACATCCAACTCAGACTGACCAAGGTCAGAGAGAGATAGCCCTTTCTGGCTGACCTTAGGCAAAATCACCGAGCAATACCGTCTCTCCCCATCTTTCTTTGTGCCCGCTTTACCCTTGCTTGGCACCCCCCCACCCCCCATGCCAGAGTCCTCACATCCACTGGCAATAAAAACCTTGTCAGCGAAGAATCTGCCATCGCCCATTGAGACATCAGTTCAGTGTAATTTCCTGTCTCCTTCTCCCAGAGAGACGTGCATATGGCGCCCTCTCTCCCTACAGAAAGTAAGGAAAACGGTGAGCTCGGGGCTGGGGTGAGGCGGGAGGTGTGTGCCCGACACCAAGTGTTCCCAGACTCACCACCCCAGGCCCTGTGGCTCCTCATGGGCATCTCCCAGGAAGGTGGACTCTGGAGTCGGTAGAGGCTGGCATGGCAGAGATGCCCAAGAACCACTGGACAAGGGAACATCTGGCGGGGAATTCCAAGCTCTATTCCTGCTACCTGCCCCCCCAAACCCTTGGGATCTCTTGTCCAGTTTCATTAATCAAGTTAAGTCCCACAGCTCTCAGACTGACAACGAAGAGAGTACTCACGTGGGGAAGAACAACAGCCTGGCCCCCCTTTGCTTAGGGTAAAGGAGGTGTCTCCCCACGTTACTATAGCTAACCCTCTCAGGGGGTTACTATAACCCAGGAGCTGGCTCTAGGGTCCTCCATGGGCCTCCATGCCCCATAGTCTGTCCTCCACTCCCTCCGTGGTTCCTCAGAATCAAGGGCCATGAACCCAGAGAGCAACAGAAAGCTGGTGGCTGACGCAGCTCTGCCTCAGCCCCAGCTGAGTAAGGGAGAGGGAGGCTGTCTGCCACATCCACCACCAAGAAGTGCCCTTGAGAGCGTTCCGACCTCTCCAAGGTCAAACTGAAGAGACCACACCCAGAGAGAAGCAGGCGCCCCTCCCCTCCAGTCCAAGGTTCACTGTTCGCACCCGTTTAATCATGACCTGCCTCTTCTCCTGTGATTGACAAGTGGGAACGTCCACCTCTTCATTCCTATCCGCGGGAGCTTAACTTTATTGGACTTGTACCAGATAAGCTTATCAGAATACAACTCGGGAGGCCTAATCTCCGTTTAAGGTGGGAGTGATTTGTGGGGCCTTGGAATGAGCCTGTCCACAAAGCTGCTTTTGCAGCTCTGGTAATTCCCGATGGCCCTTCAGCTCGGACAGTGGGCTCTGCGGACCACTGTTCCCAGGCGTCCCTGCCCCCTGGCTTCCTGCCGGTTCAGCCAAACGAGGACTCAGAGGGAGAAATGCAGGCGAGGAGGGAGAAAGCCGCAGAGGGTCGCTTTGCTACTTCCTGCTAAGACCAGCCTCACTGCACCCCCTTCAAAGTCCAGCACCAGCTCTGCCCTCCTTGTAGCGGTGCTGGCAGTAGCTGGGCTATGACCTCCGGTGGTCAGACCACCAGCCATGCTCCCCACCCCCGCCGCACCCTCTGCCCCTCAGCATGGCAGTCCTGCTGCGTTGATGGCTCCCTGAGGGGTCTGAGCACCAGCCCACTCCTAGGCCAGATGAGACCACTTCTTCCCTTTAGTTTCCCCAGTGCTGGGGATAGAAGCTGTTCTGCAATTATTAATTGTTGGGTTATTTCTACTTTGCACGTCCAGTGTAACTAATTCTCTGCCTAAATGCCATCTGTTTGAAACATGGAATGTGGTTTGTTTTCCTGACTGGACAAGAATTTTCCAAATTGGAGTGTTCTAATAGTCATGATCAAGCCATAATCAGAACATTTTGGCACATGTCTCATATTTTGTCATGTAAATGTTAACAGATTACAAGAAATTACAAGAGTGAGTAAAGTTTTAAGATCATTCTGCAGGTTGGGGCCCATTGGCACATCCTTATATGACATAGTTGTTATTTATTATACCACATTTGCAAATATCAAAAAGAAAAAAAGGCTCCCAGACTAATTTTAGATCAACTGAATTCAAAACAAAAGAATCTTAAGGCGCAGCTGAGGAAGTCAACCTCGAGAGACCTGACCTGAATGCCAGCCCAGCAGGGAAGGACTCTGGGTAGCGAGCACATTACCATTCTGCTTATTATTTAGCTATGTCAGTTGCGTCAGGTAATTGTTGGTACATTTCACTAATATCTTGGGACTTGGGCAATGTTGGATATTAGGCAATTGGAGAGCCTAACTCATCTCTCATTTCATCCCCTCAGGGTCTATGTTCTGAGAACAGCCCACCGAGAAGAAAGGACCCCTGGGCAGAGCCTGGACAAGGTGCGCTAGGCTGGGAGGTTTGAGGGAGGACCCTGGTGCCTTCTCCTCCACACTGAACGCCTGATGATGAGACCTGAGAACAAGCTGGTCTGACATCCGCCCAGACACAGACAGAAAGGGGCAAGGCCTGCTCTGAGCGAGGCCCTGTCGGGGGGGGGGGGGGATGG